TTTTTGCTTTATTACTTCTTGTTTCTAATAAAATTTAAAGGCTGTGACCATTTCTGTCTTAAAATCAGTAAAATGCAGAGAAGTTGTTTAGTGTCACAGAAGGACAACTGGAAGTTTAACTTTACCAATAAATGATTAGGATAAAGATTAGGCCATAGGGATTTGCCCTTGTGAATGGAATGCAGTGTGAATCTTTACAGAGATTGAAAATAACTTGCTCCTTGCTTAAGGTATGTTGAAACACACCAAGATTATGTAGAGGGAACTATCTTAATTAATCTTACTGGGATGTCACATTAACTGCTGGAATAACCCTGGTCTCCATGTAGGCTTTTCTTAACATAGGAAAAAACAAAAAACTTACATTTTCAAAGAGACCAGAATCAGGATGGATCTATGGGATGCCTATTGCAAATTCAGAATTGTGTTCTAAGCTAGAATAAAAACAAAGTTGTATACACATGTGAACTAATACACTGTAAATCAAAAACATGCAGGGCAACCTGACAGGATCAAAAACCCCACTATCATATTGTTTTGAATTTACAGTGACCAACAGCTATTTAAGGTATAGAACAGTCCTTCGGGGCGAAGCAGTGGCGCAGTAGGTAGTGATGTCGCCTGACAGCAAGAAGGTCACTGGGTCGCTGGTTCAAGCCTTGGCTCGGTTGGTGTTTCTTTGTGAAGTTTGCATGTTCTCCCTGCGTTCGTGTGGGTGTCCTCCAGGTGCTCTGGTTTCCTCAACAGTCTAAAGACATGCAGTACAGGTAAATTGGGTAAGCTAAATTGTCTGTAGTGTGTGGATGTTTTCCAGAGATGGGTTGTGGCTGGAAGGGCATCTGCTGTGTAAAAAAACTTGCTGGATATGTTGGCGGTTGATTCCGCTGTGGTGACCCCGGATTAATAAAGGGACTAAGCCGACAAGAAAATGAATAACATGAATTGAGTTTTGACATTTGGGATCTGATCACTGGGTTACTTTTTGATTGCCAATTAGACTAGATTAATTGTTAAATGGTGTTGCATAGTTGAATCTGCTTTGTGCCTCCCTGGAAAAAAGGGAGGGGGAGGGGTGAGGCATGTGGATGTGGGGTTTGTTGGGTCCCATCTCTAAAAATCTGATTCCAGTCCCACAACACTTACATGTATACATATATAGCCTGTTTATTGACAAGATCTTCCAATTTGACTTCTTCCAATTTGAATTCTAACTATTAAAAGTTAGTTTCTCATAGTTTCTCAAATACAAATGTAACTTTTTTTGAACATTAAATAAAATTGATGCAGAAAAATGTATAGATTATGACTTGTTTTGGATTTAAGCAAGTTTCCAGCACCTTTACCCCTAAACATATGCTTGGCGGTTCATTCTGCTGTAGTGACCCCAAATTAATTAAGGGACCAGGTGAAAAGAAAATGAAGAAATGAATATATATATATATATATATATATATATATATATATATATATAAAATATTCAACTGCATAAAACATATGCTGGATAAGTTGCCATTTCATTCCGCTGTGGTGACCCCAGATTAATAAAGGGACTAAGCCGAAAAGAAAATGAATGAATGAATCTTAAAGTGTTTCCTTTATTTTTTTGAGCAGTGTATTTATACAGTGCTCAACATATATGAGTGCACCACTCACAAATCTCTCATTTAAATTAATATTTTCTACAAGAAGCTTTACAATATTGTATTTGTGCATAATATATATTAGATTAGTCAGTGCTGAAGCCAATTCTAACAAAATAACTTATAAAAATGGTCCAAAATTTGTCCACCCAAATTTATAAGTTAGGATTAAGTATTAAATGTAAAATTTAAAAACAGCCAAATTCAAGAAAAACAAAACATTTATAATATTTTGTTGAATTTTTGTAGTAATTTTTTTCCTAATATTTTGCATGGATTTAAATGTATTATCTTTCTATTTTTAAATATATTTGGTGACTAAAATATCATTTTAATAAATATATCCGTCTAATAAATCTGGTTTGTTCAAATGCACCCAAATACATTGCCTGTTAACTGAGAAATTGCTAAAAATGTTCATTTTCAAAATGGGGTGTACTCAATTATTTATTTATTTTTTACATAACAATATGTACAAATTTAGGCTTAGTACATTTAAGAGAGCTCTTCAGGACTTGGTTCACTTTTAAATCACATGCTGATCTATTCTTAAACCAGTAAATCATGTGTCTCAGAGATCTTAGGCTGGCTGCCAAATACTTGGGTGTGTCCTTTATATGAGCAACATGAACGACAGCTGTCAGGTGAGGCTCCATAGCTCAGTGGTTAGAGCACTGGTCTTGTAAACCAGGGGTCGCGAGTTCAATTCTCGCTGGGGCCTGTATAGATTTCTTTTGAGATACGGCCTGCTCTGAAAATCATTCAGAATATGGGCTTAAAGAATCAAATACCTCATAACATATACAGTATCAGCTGTGAGGTTAGTGAAACATAGCTGATCCAATAAAACCACAACCCACATGGAACTTTAAAGACAAAATTGCTTTTCTTTTACTGCTAATTATTTATTATGCTTCAAATAAATGATGTTGGGCAAAATGTTTTTCCATTTTTCTTGACCAGAAGTGCCCAAACTTTTTCTTATGAAGGGCCAAAAAACAACCAGATAACTGAGGGGTTGTGGGCCGAAGGTACATTAAAGTTTTCATTCGTTATCTCCTATTTTTTTTAAAAATAACTACAAAACATTGCTTTAAATTATATTAACGAATGCAGTATATTTAAAATAATGTTTAATCAAGTTATTACAGCAAAAACAAAAACAATCTCATTAATATAATGGAGTTCAATGTTAAATACGCTAAGCTGCACCTGCCTTTGCCTTGATTTGCTCGCTGATGTTGTTTACATTTTTTGAAAATCTGATGAATTTACAAAACTAAAGAAACGACAAAACAAAGAAATAAAAGATTACATTACATTCAAAGTGACAATATTTGGCAAGATATTTGCCCCAATAACCATCCCAACGGTGGGCCAAATCAAATGGGCAAACTTTGGGCCCCCGGGTGCTAGTTTGAGCATCTCTGTCAAACTGTTTTTAATAAATGATGTTATCATTTGTGCTTTAATAATTGTATTAGACATTTTGGACTACGAATTATAGTTATTTTTTACTTACTGTTTTTTTTTTATCTTGTTCTGTTCAGAATAACAATTTAAAGGATTTACAGACAGCACTCTCTGTGTAATTGTTAACCATTCTAAACTAAAAGTATAGTCCACCATAAATAGATAAACTTTATTAGATTTCTCAGAAACAAATATTTGTGTAAATCAGGTTAATTGATTGTACATTATATTATTCAGCACTCAAGGAAAACTCAAAATTATTTCAACAATATTTTAACTTCGACTTTAGAAACTTTTTTTTGTTAAAACAGAGTACATACAGGAATCAGAGAGTCTCACAGCAAGAAGGTTGCTTGTTCAATCCCCGGCTGGGTCAGTTAACATTTCTATGTGTAGTTTGCATGTTCTCCCAGTGTTGGTGTGGGTTTCCTCCTGGTGCTCCGGTTTTCCCCACAGTCTAAAGACATGTAGTATGGGTGAATTTAATAAAAAAGGCTAAATTGGCCGTAGTTTGTTTGAATACAAGAGTGTATAGTGTTTCCCAGTACTCGATTGCGGCTGGAAAGGCATCCACTGTGTAAAACATATGCTGGATAAGTTGGCGAATCATTTCTCTGTGGCACCCCTGATTAATAAAGGGACTAAGCCGAAAAAAGAAAATGAATGAATGAATGAATGAATAAAAAATCTATTAAATCTAGCTAAATCAGCAGGTTGGCCCCTATAGAACTGCAGAAATAAATGTATTGTCTTGGTTATTGCAGTAAACAATGCAGCATGATCTCAAATCTAGTAGAGTTTCATTGATTTCATGAACTAAACAGCATCCTGATATTCGCAGATTTAATTTAGGCATACAACCATTTATTACGTAATCAAAAATGATATAAAATTTAATACCTTGCAAAACAGCATTTAAAACATTTTAATACTTTTAAGGACCTTAAATTTCTACATTGATTTACCAACTTTTAATACTTTTTAAAAGCCTGCGGACACCCTGTAAAATGTGTTCCTGACACCTCAGATGACATGGCAGTTTATAGCAACAATAAATAAAACCCTGTTCCTGAACTTATTCTTACAAAGCGTTTGCATATATGCAGTGTATTCACAGGTTTTAAAGTAAAGTCAAAGTACAGAGTCTGTACAAAAATAAAAGAAGCTCCAAACCACACCTCCACCCCAAACAAGTACAAGGAAATGACTATAAGCTAGGCCAGGGGAGCTACTTCTTCTTCTTCTTCTCATGAGTTTTTATTGGCGGATCACACTTTTTATTTATCGTTAACAGTTTAAAAAAAACCTACACCACTTGTATCTAAATTCTTTTATCTAATTTAGACATTAAAAAAAAAGAACTAAACATTCTATACAGTCCTCATCTGACTTGTATTTTAGCACTTTAACCAAATAAAATTCATACGAACTCTTTTCAAATTTAAAATAAATACTTTATTTTCCCTATTGTACTTTGGACATTTCATAATTACATGCTCCACGTTTTCTTCTTGCCCACAATAATCACATTTTTCAGTCTGATGTTGTTTCATTTTGTACAATGGACTTGAGTCCTGTATGTCCAAATCTAATTCTTGAAATGATATTCCCTTCCCTCATTCACCTCCCATTTTTCCTTCCTCCCATTGTTTTTGCCACCTATTTTTTTTTAAGTCTCTTGATTAGAACCTTTAACTCACTTTTACTATATTTTACTTCCATGTCTAGAACTGATTTTCTTGTAGCTTCCTTAGCGCCCTCGTCTGCCAACTCATTCCCTCAGGGAACCTTCTTGCAAGTTTCAGTTGTAATCCTGACCAAACACACCTGTCTGTAATTATCAAGTGCCGCTCAGGTCTAAATTCATTGGTTCAGGTGTGCTTTATCATTGTTGGAGCTGAAACCTGCAGGAGTGAAGCTCTCCATAAGCATGGTTGGTTACTTCTGTGCTAGAGACTTACAACCGCAAAACTCGACTAAGGACTAACAACAGAGAAAATAACTGTTACTTAAAAGAAGAAGAAGAAGAAGCAGCAACAACAACAACAACGTGAATCTAAATCACGACTTTAACGCTGAAGAATGGCTTCAGTGAAAACAGTGTCTGTGGAACATTTCTCTTGTCCAGTTTGCTGTAAAATCTACAAGGATCCTGTTGTGCTGTCATGTAGTCACAGTTTCTGTCAAGAGTGTCTTCAAAAGTTCTGGATTACCTGCAACACTCTAGAGTGTCCTGTTTGCAGGAGAAGATCGTCCAGAGATGATCCTCCTTGTAATCTTGTTTTGAAGAACTTGTGTGAGTCACTGACAGCAGACAGAGCTTCAGGATCTGAGCTGGTCTGCAGTGTGCACAATGAGAAACTTAAACTCTTCTGTTTGGATGATGAACAGCCTGTGTGTCTTGTGTGCAGAGATTCACAAAAACACACCAATCACAGGTTCAGACCCATTGATGAAGTTGTTTTATCTTACAAGGTAGGGGGAATCATAACATGCGTAATGTGAGATTTATTGGGTTTTCTTGATAGTATCAATGTGAAAAAAAAGATAGTATCAATGTAATACCTCAGGATGCCAATAGATGGCAACTGAATGTATAGGTATCATGAGCTACAGCGTAGTATATTATTAACTAAATAAGCATAGTTGATATTAGTGATCCAAGAAGTAATAATAATAAATTAAAATGCAATAATAAAATTAGTTAATTTTACACCAGATATTTACATTTTAAAAGGTAGAAATGTCACTATTTTGGTGTAACGCAAAGACTATTTTATTTATTTATTTTTATAATTTATATAATGAAATTTTATGCATTTCGGCAGGGCAGAGTAATAAAAGCACATAACAACATGACAAATTATTATTTCTGTGAAACTGCACATTTACTTTGTTAAATTCAAGGAGGAGCTCAAAAAAGGACTGAAGTCCTTTCAAGAGATGCTTAAACACACCAAAAACCTTAAAGAAAAGTGTGATCAAACAATCCAGCACATCAAGGTGAGAAAAAGTCAAATCCTGATCATGATTTATCTGACAACAAAATATTGATGTAAATTTCTCTGTTCTTATATTCAGAGTCAGCGTGAGAGCACGGAGCGGCAGATTAAAGAGGAGTTTAGGAAGCTTCATCAGTTTCTGCACGATGAAGAAAAAGCTTCAGTCTCTGCACTGAAGAAGGAGGAAAAGCAAAAGAGTGAGATGACAAAGAAGAAGATTGAGGAGATGAACAGACAAATCTCAGCTCTAGCAGACGTTATAAAAGATATAAAAGAAAAGATGAATGCCAGTGACATTGTATTTCTACACGTGAGAACTGATTGTGTTTTTAAACGCATTTAATTTCCATAGAGAAGTTTACTTGGCATAATCTAGTTTTAATTACTATAATCTAAGTAAATGCTTTGTTTTCTCTATTTTCCAGAGCTTTAAAGGCATCAAGGAAAGGTAAGCGAGTCATTGTGTCTCTGGCCTCTTTGATTGAGCTTAAACTCACTGCACTTCTGACTATTGAATGTTGTTCAGAGCTCGGAGTTCACAGCAGGATCCACAGATGATTTCAGGAGCTTTGATTAATGTGGCAGATCATCTGAGAAACCTCACCCTCAGAGTCTGGAAGAAGATGCAGCAACTTGTTTACAACAGTGAGTCTTTAAATGATTTCAGATATTACTGATCAAGAGATTTAAGTTCATTGATATGGATGAGCCATCTCTACTCAAATTAAAATTTGTATAGGTCCACCTAAAACCATGTTGGTGTTCTTATTTTTATTTTTTTATAAATGGTATACAACACAAATTAATAATAATAATTATTTTTATTATTATTATTATTATTGTTATTATTATCATTATTAGTATAAAGGCATTTTTTTTTATATCTCCATCAGCTCCTGTGACTCTGGACCCAAACACTGCAAATTCATGTCTGATTCTGTCCGATGATCTGACAAGTATGAAATGCAGGGCTTGTAGTCAACTGGTTCCTGACAATCCAGAGAGATTTGACCCATATGCTTGTGTTCTGGGTTCAGAAGGCTTTAACTCCGGAACACACTGCTGGGATGTGGAGGTCAAAGACAATTCGGACTGGATTATAGGAGTAACTACAGAATCAAACCAAAGGAAAAAAGAGTTTTTTAAAACCAACACCTGGTGTGTGGTACAGAGATGAAAAATATTCCACACAGGCTCTAGGGCATTACAACACTTTTTCAGTAAAAGGGAAACTTCAGCGTCTGAGATTAGAGCTGGACTGGGAAAGAGGAAAACTATCATTCTGTGATCCTGTAACCAACACAAATTTACAAACACTCATAATCACCTTCACAGAGAGAGTCTTTCCGTTCTTCTATAGTTCTGATGTTCTTTCTCCTCTAAGGATTTTACCATCTAAAGTTTTTGTGAGTTTTTGGGGAACATAAAAAGGCGGTAACCTGTTAAAGAAGGAATAAATGCGTTTATAAAATTATGTTTGGTTTACGTGCTAAAAAATGCAAATCTAGAATAAGTAGACAATGTTTGAGCTGATCCTGTCATATTAAAAATGTTAACAATGAAAATGTATTTATTTTTTTCCCCCCTCTTGTTTCTTACGTGCGGGAGATTAGGAGTTAAAATCAAATTATAGCTAAATAGATTTTAAATGAAAAGATGTAATAAAGCATCAAAATTGTTCCAATAAGGGACTTAGAATTAAGTCAAATTACCAGTGAGCTTGGTCTCTATTTATAATCTAATGTAAATTACACTAGTTTTTGTTTTAGTTTAAGATTTTCACCCTGCAACTGTTCAGTTCCATCTTGATGAAATTCCACTGTCTAGTGTTAAAAATTAACAAAAGTTAAGAGTCTCTTGCTTGAACATTTTAGGGTTTGTTTATTTTATGTGTGTGTATCATTGTAATACACAATGAGAATTTGTCACAGCAAAATGCATCTACGAGTATACTTTAAGTATTGTTTTAGTTTGTATACAAATACAAGCGAGTCTCAAACAATATGTCATAGATAATATACAGTGGGTATGGAAAGTATTCAGACCCCAATTAGCAAATGGCTGCAATATAACAGCGAAAAAATTAAGGGGGTCTGAATACTTGCTGTACCCACTGTAAAAATAAAAATGCATTCTAAATTAACTTGGTGTCAAACTTTATCTCTAACTTTATCTTTTATATGGGGGGAAAAAAGTCTATGCTTTTGAAAAAGTTTGTATAACCCATAAGACACATTTGTTTTGGATTTGCAAATATTTGATTGGGTTAAATTATTGCTTCATAATATTAGATTTTATCTTACCTAATCTTAGTTTTGGTTCCTTTTATTAAGGTTAAATTCTCACTTTGGTGAGACAAACTGGCAGCTTTCTAAACTCTTGGACAAAATTGTTTCCATGTAAGAAAAAAAAAAAAGTAAGAATCTTTTTTTTTTAATTATTATTAAAGTGGCAGATCTTTTGAAAAACCTCACCATCAGAATCTGGAAGATAATGCAGCAACTTTTTCAAAATAGTGAGTCTTTGTTTTTTAAAGACCCTTGCATTAACTGTGATTATTTTCATTGCTAAAATGGACTATAAAATCTATAGAGCCCCTGAAACACCTGATCCCCATAAATAAATATTAAAGCAAAAAAAGTAACAGACAGGAGTGTACCCATAATGGAACTGACCCAAAGCACAAACATTTTGGGAAGGAAAATGAAATCTTTAAACAATAACAAATAATATGAAGTCAAATATATGCACTGTTTGTACTCCTCAGCTACTGTGACTCTGGACTAAACCCTGCACATGCACTTACTATGTCTGATAATCCGAACAGTTTGGGATGAGGTGAGGTGAAGCAAGTGGATCACTGCTTAGACGTGGAGGTTGGAGATTTATTAAATTTAAATAACATTTGCCTTTTTATTGAATTTTTAATCAAGCAAATGCAACCTTAATTAGTAGAAAGCACTCATTTCTAAAACAATAAACTTGTATAGGTAGTGTAGATAAAATAAATTGTCTAAATGATGTAAGTCCTGTTTCTATACATTGTCTAAATTGACATGTTTACCTGGTTATAGCCAACAGTAACATTTGATTTGATTTAAGATCTGCTACTGTGAAATACTGTCTGGATTTAGGGTATAATTTTAAATATGGTTAAAATAAAAGGTTTGCAGGTTTATTTTCTCAGTGCATGTACAGAAGTCAACATGGATCAAAAATGTTTCTGAAAATTGTCTCAAGACCAGATTGAGTGCTATTCAGTAGTTCAAGGACAACTTTGATTTAAGGTTCTGAAGCACTTCAAATGTTGACTACTGTAATTCATCATGATGCTTGTAGATGGCAGCAAAAGAAAACAACTAGCAAGTCAGCTACAGTCTGCATGGGCAATGTATTATATTTGGTTCACAATTAACATGACAGATATACTGTTTTAGAAAAAAATAAGAGTAAAAGCATTTCATTCCAAATAATCCAGTCAAAGTCTGTGCTTGAAAAAAACCCATTAACTCTTTGTTAAGTGTGGGTCTCTGTCAGGGTACAATGCAGGTCGCTTTACGCAGAGTCAAGTATCCAGTCACCACATCTGTGGGTAACTGACGGATGTAGGAAAACTCTTCAGTCGACGCAAATCGCAGTTTAGTCTGAGGGTCGGTGTAGTTTGCCTGGGACACATAGATACAAACATCAGGTGAGATTCTAAAAATAAAAGACGACTAGTCTATTGATTTAATCCCACAGTCTGTTCAAAAATATATTTTAAATACATTAACAACGCAAAAACAATTTGCAATAAACTCACCGGTAGACCTGAGATGTCAGAGTACTTTTTGGCTGGCTTCATAGAAGGAGGTGCATCTATGTTGCAGTCTGACACAGAAAAGAAATGCAAAGGTTGTTAAAGTAAATCAAAAAGACACTGTGTCATGATAATCAACATATGTTTTTGCAAAACTATTCATTATTTTTCAGAGGTGCTATTTTCCAGAAAAACTGTTAAGCTGCTTAAAGGAGACCTATCATGCAAAAATCTTATTACAAGTGGTTTAAGCACAGTTGTGTGGCAATAGTGTCAACACAGCCAGCCTCTAATGGTAAAAATTCATTCATTCATTCATTCTATTTTTATTTATTTATTTTAAATCACACTTGAAAAAACATTTTGCAGAAACGCTTTGATTGGCATTCTCCCTTTGTGCATGCCATTAGAGGGGAAAGCCCCACCCATTAGTGACAATCACTCTGTCATTAGCATAGACAAAGCTAAGATAAGGACTCGAAGAGACCAATGGATATTGGCCAAGTATCCAGCCTGAAATATACAACTATCTCATTAAAACTCCAAGTGTTTTTACAAGAGAGATGTTAAAAGCCTACAAGTCTTTAAAAGCCAACAATTTGTTGTGTGTGGTCATGTTCAATAAATAACGTTCCATGCTTACCAGATTCAAAACTATAGTTATAAAAACAGGTTCTGCCAAGCCAAAGACAAGGAAAGAAGACGGAGCTGTACAAGGCCTGGGTAATCATCAACAATCAAAACAACTGCATTCTGACATCGAACCTCACCTGTACAGCAGGGTATGTGAACTTGCATGTTTGCATTTCATTCTAAGCATTCAGTGTCCGCAGTTAAATTAACTATATTTGCGGTTTTTGCTGAAATCATACATTGCAGCAATCAAAAACGAGTAATGTGTCATGATGCACATAACTTTTAAAAATACATATAAAAAACACGCCCATAACGGAGTAGGATAAACTTTTATTTGATAGTAAAGATGCACCTAAACTACGATGGAAACACTTTTACTGAACAAATTTCATTATGCGCATTAAAAAAAAGGTTATAAGAGATCATATGATGATGAAAATGTGTGTGAACACGTCTCATGGCTTCAAACGCCACCACACGTTCATTGTGTGTAAGCATAGTCTTCTAAGGTGCAAGTACATTTATTAAATAAAGAAAAGATTCACGCAGCTTCTTTTACTGCAGTATATTTTGTTTTTACTGTTGCTATTTGACACCAGTTAATTAGGAAGTGATTTTGTTCTCTTTGATTCACTGGATGGAAACACTGCTTATTCGCACATCTTTTATGCGTTATTCCAATTTTGCACGTAAATTTAAATAATATTTTTAGAAGGAAATAACTATTACCTTCATTGACCTTCGATGTGTACTGTAACTAGATTAATGGGATTATTATTCATTCAAAAATTATTTTTTAATACTGGTTACATTTTAAATGTCATGTCAACCTCTATCACTTGATCAATAAAAAAGGCAGACACACAAGAGCACTTTTAAAAAAAACTGATCAACGTGTGTAAAAGTGGGAAATAAATTAAACATTTCCACTGAACGTTAGCTTAGGTTACATGTATTCTTGTTTTGTCAAATTGGTTGTAGAAACTTAATTTAATGCAATTACATCTGAGATAACTTTAAAATTAAGGCCAATTCCCCACTTTTTCCAAGTAAAAATTGAATAAATGTCACATTACATTACTTATTTTATTATACCTAAATATTTAAATACTTTACATGTAAAATTACGCATTAACTTGAGCAGCCGTTTTCCCGCGCTAACTGTGTTTCACTGATGCAGTGGTGTTGCTTTTTAAAATATATGGTCATTTTTGCCTTAACTTTTCATGAGCAGATTAAGTTCAGCTGGAATAGAAATGCTGATCTCTTTATTTATTTATTTTTCAGACGTTGCCATGGCTACACATAATATCTGCGCTTCATTGATAATGCCTTTTTATAGTCGTGGTGTGCGCATTAAAATCTGAGATTGACCTAAACAGATTGATCAGTCATTCTGAAACCGGCCCATTATAAAGTTGATGATGACAGCATTGCCATAGCAAACTGTAGGATATGTAAACTTGGGAATGCAAGAGTTGGAAAGGAAAAGGCTACATTTAACACAACAAACAGAGTTGTTAAATGTTAAAATAATGTAAATTAAATAAGAAACATCCTAGATCTGTTTCTTCGCTTTTTTTAAAATTGTTTTTGTTTATGCATTGCAGAAGTAAAGGATCAGGTTTTGGTAGATACTCTAAATCAAATGACTCGAAACCTGATTGGGACATCCCTAATTCTAACCACATGCAACGAGTTGTAATTAGAACCAAATAATGCTATTTGTGTTTTTTTTTTCAATACTATAGTATTGAGAAACTGAGTCACTGAATTATATTGATTTCAAAAGAACTTGTGACAGTAGTTGGCTAACAATACCGGAAAATTCAGTCTGATTCATACATGCTTCATTACTTTTTAAAAGCCAAACTCACAGTTAGGATCATTGATTTTCCAGGGTAGCGCTTTCTCAGCTGCTAAAATCTGTTTCAGGTTTTTCCACGTCCGGTTCTTCTTCCCTGCTGCTGCTCCACCAATACCTGAGTGCTAATACAAGAACTGAAGTCATGTATTGAACTCCGTGTGTTTTACACACATGAAATATTGAACAGACTTACCACAAAGTCAGGGTTTTTAAAAGGCAAACTCTTGGTAGCAGTCTCTACATCAACAGATCCCACTGGTTTTACTTCAGAGGTTCCTTCAACTGGGGCAACCTGTGACAAATAGAAACCACCAATGAGAAAATACACTTAATTATCAAATTAGATGAGCAGATTATCCCAGCACAGAACTGTATTACAGCACCACAAATTGTGAAGCAAATGTCAGACTAAGTCTAAAATATGGCTGTGGGTTACCAAAGCAATCAGGCCTGTAGCTGGGGTGGGGTTCGGGTACCTCAGAAGACCCACCCCCCATTGATAAATTAAGGGCCAGAATCTGTCCCATACATGAGCTTATTTGTTCCATTTCGACTGTTATGTCATCATAAATAGTGACAATAACCCATCGAAAAAGGCTTTAAGACCAAGTAGAATCCGGATGTGACTTCAGTTTTAAAACAATTATTTTTCAAGAGTCCAACATCTGTGCAAGAAAACATCTGACATAAGCGAAGTCATCTTTCGCTACTGTATTGACTTTAATGAAAGAGAACATTTGACAAGTAACTTTTATTCTATAAATCGTGAACCTTATTCTTGAAAGAAAATGTGACAAATATGAAAAAGTGTAAATCGCTTTTACAAGAGAGGTTAGAAAAATTTTGAAGCTGTAAATTAGTATTAATTATTATTCAAATGGCCAAATTCTGACGGTGGATATTTGAATGTGCTGACCAGTTTGTTATTTGTTTAATAAATTACACTTGGCTACAGTGTTTGCACAAACAAAATGTGTCTGAACAATTACAAGATTGTTCAAGAAACTTTCTGCATTACAACACACAAATCTATTAATCTAAACAATGACACTGGCAGAAAGCACTACTATATTTACAGAAATTAGATTTGCAGAAAGTTTATGCACAAAATTATCTTCTTGATAAGGGACAGTACATAATATCCACAGACAAATTAAGCCAATTAATGCAAACAAAAAGTAATATAACATAATAATACTACTATTATATAAATTGAGGTAAAGTTGGTTATATATTCGCACATTTAGACTTTTTCTTTAATAATATAATTTCAGAAAAGTTTTCATTGCCAATTATTAATAGTGAAATCATTTTAGCAGCCAACAACCATCAAAGTACAACATTGTGTACAGTCAATTTAATAGTGCTAATGTTTTAAAGTCATGTTTACATGTGATTTCAGTCCGAATATTCAAAGTACCATGGTAAACAATGTATGAAGCAGTCACTGAACGAATGTGCGAATATAAAACCAACTTTACCATAATATTATATGATGTTTTCCTTTGCATTTTGGTTTATTTCAAACGTAATCCTATAACATTAAAACACTTTATTTGATGGGTCTATAACCCATTTTTCACACTGTGATTTTTTTTTTTTTTTTTTTTTTGCTTAATACTTTTAATTTAAAAAAATGTCACCAGTTGTTTTTTTTTCAGAACTTTTACCACCTTTTCTTTAACTGAGCTAAAATGCTAATTACCTGAGCTTGAGCAGTTGAGAGTGCGGGTTGTGTCTTCTTCTTTTTGTTGTTGTTGATAATGTTATTGGTCAGTGGTGTTGTGTGTGTGGCGGGGCTCACGGACCGTTTCTTGCTCCGGGCCTGAGCAACTAATGCCGCCGCTGTCTGCGCTTTACTCGCCAATAGCGTCGCTGGGTTTAATTCCCTTGCTTTTGATACTCCGGATTCGGATGGGGCCGACATTTGTTCTCATTGAGTTTTAACGAACATATCCAAAATTTCTGCAGGTACTCATCTGTGAGCACGTTAGCCTACTGCTAACCACAACATCCCGTTCACCCGGAAGAGATGGGGAGAACGTGCGAGACGTGCCTTTTATTTAAATTCCGTTGCGTCAATCCAATACATTGGTTCCGATCGTGTTCTGGATTACATTAGTTATCGTTGAACAAAAAGAAAACAGTTTAACATTTAAAAATTTTGAGTACATAGTTTTTATATTTCGTCTACTGTCTCTCTCTCTATATTTAAAAATTTAGAAACAGCCCACAGTTGTTCACAGCTGAACTGACGACTGTTGGTTGTGTTGAGAAGCTTAAAACAATAATCTGATGCCAACACTTCTGTATTAGATGTATAATTTAATTTGAAATAGGACAACACATTGCCTATTCCCCATTTCAGCAGTTAGCGCTGAAGTTCACTTTGATTTATGCTCTATGACAGACTCATTACAGAATACAAGAGGATAATGGCATTTATATTTCAATCACATGTGTGGCTGGGGGAAATAAATGACTAATTAACTTTGTTCAAAACAGATGTCAGGTAATTATTTCTCCTCTCTGTAGATTTCGATACAACATTTACAGCACTGCCATTGTCCTTCACTTCTACCTTCTTTCTGTCACAGTAGGTTATATCATCCAAAAGGGCTGTTTCCATTTGAACTGTCATAAGTGTAGACTTAATTTTACAAAAATACATTTCTTATTATTTATCATTTGACTTTATTGTACAGCAGTTTGCCAAAAAGCAGCACAAATATATAATAATATAATTATTACCTTCTTATGGCAATTTTACATCATACCGACTGACTAGAGACTTCAAAAAGCCGACTGTTACCTTTCTTCATTTCATTCTCTGTTCTTGTCCTTTCTTTGAATGCCATTGCTTGTCATTTCACCTTTGCTGCCGTCTTAAATGTCAACTTCAGAGTTCACTTCGCTCTCTTTTATATGGACCTCTCTGCATGTTTTGAAGTGAAATATTGTTGGAGGCATAAAGGGAGAAATGTGACAGACAAATCTCCCCATGCAGAGCTACACACATAACACTGTCCTTGAGTTTATATCATCCATCATTCTTTTCATAACAGTCTCTTTCTTTATTCCATCTGCATTCCTTAAAAAGTAATGGATAAAATAAACAAGCTTGCTGATGTAAATACAAAGATGTTGTGATATTTTGTGAACATTATCTTGTATTAGCTTAGTTTTTCCAGGATTTATTTTATTCATTTTCCTTCGGCTTAGTCCCTTATTTATTAGGGGCTGCCACAGTGAACCACCAACTATTCTGGCATTTGTTTTACGCAGCAGTATGTTTTACTGCAATCCAGTACTGGAAAAACCCACACACTCTTATATGCACACACTCATACACTATGCGGCCACTTTAGTTTATTCAATTTCACTATAGCGCATGTCTTTGGACTTCAGGGGAAATCAGAGCACCCAGAGGAAATCCACACGAACATGGGGAGAACATGCAAAATCCACAGAAACCAGCAGCCTTCTTGCTGTAAGGTGCTAACCACTGTTTTGAAACATGCTGCATAAGCAATAGCATCTACACAATATAGTAGGTAAAACAGTATGTTAGCCAAGTAGTAGGCTATATGTGAATTTATGCTGTTTCACAAAGCAGTAGACAAAAAGTACCTAGTTATTCCACAGAGATCCCAAAGGGCTCATCTGATAAACACATGACTGTCCTATTAGGCCAAAGTAGATAATTTATCAATGAAAGTAAAGTGACAACACTGGTAGGTCATGTGATAAAAATAACATGGTGGAAATATATGTCTGAATTTCATTCATAGTACACCCACATTAGTTCAAATTCAAATGTACCTATTCAGACAACATGTGATTTTGTGAACACGTTTACAGTACTTCACAGTCATTTGATATGTTCTAATATAAATGTGTGTGTGACATTTATTCAGTTCAAGTTTATTTGTAAAGCGCTTTTCACAATAATCATTGTTTCAAAGCAACTTTACAGAAGGTACACATTATTGCATCGCCATCATATTTGGAAAAAGTTAAGGTTACCATAACTGTATTTGCCACTAATAACTTGGTAACTAGTAATAACTAGTAACTAATAGCTTTTAACAGTTAAAGTTCATTCATTTTTCTTTGGCTTAGTCCCTTATTTATCAGGGGCCACCACAGCGGAATGAACCGCCAACCATTTACACAGTCGATGCCCTTCCATCTGCATCCCAGTACTGCAACAACCATACACTTACACATTCACACACACACTTATACACTACAACCAATTTTGTTTACCCAATTCACCTATTCTGCATGTCTTTGGACTGTGGGGGAAACCGGAGCACCTGGAGGAAACCCACATCATGAACACAGGGAGAACATGCAAACTCCACACAGAAATGGCAACTGGCTCAACCGGGACTCAAATCGTGCTAACCAGTGAGTCACCGTGCTACCCTGACAGTTAAAGTTATTATATATAAACATAGTAACCTGCAGTTTTATAGCATATAGATGACGTCCATGTGTTCATGTATAATAATGTGTATTTGACAAGTTAATTTGTCCCAGATAGCAAAGAATTTTGGCCCAGATTTGGCATAAAGCTGCACATACTGGCATACAGCATGTGGGCCAAACATGGCATAGGTTTGGCAGAGGTGGTATCTTCTTTCAAGTGGCACACAAGACATGGGCCAGATGTCAAATGTAGAATTTGGCCCAGATGTTAAAAATTGATGTGGGCCACATTAGCTTGGCATATCTTGACCCACATTTAAAATCCATTTAAATGATTTTTTGAGTAAAGAAATATTTTAATACATAAAGTAATTTCCATCTTCCATCTTCTAATGTCTTCATTTTATTTTAGGAAACAATTAAGATGTAATTATTTGAATTATTAATTTGTTGTTTCCGGTGTGTTGCAAAATTACTAAATTTAACATACATTACATAGATTTTATTAACCAAATTATTATTTTACTGATTATATTATTATTAACCATATGTCAAAGTCAGTTTTTTTTAATAAGATAGAATAAAAGGACACCCCTAGTGTGTCTAAAGTGCCATAACTGGTCTAGTTCAGGCCCAGTTATGGGTTATTAACTTGGTTGAGACTTGGGCCAGATATGGTCCATGTTTGGTTCTTGTCAGGAAGCCAGATTTGGTCCAGTCATGTACCGTAATTCACTGTGGCATGTGGGCCAAGCAAAAGCTGATCGTGTGGGCCAGAGCTGAGAAATTTTCTATGTGGGGTGTGTGACATCTAACATGTTTTTACTGTCATGTGACTAACCGTGTCACTTCTTTTCCTATTTGTATAGACACTATTTCCTCTCTGCTTTCTTACAGTGACTACAACTTGCACAGTCTATCCTGGTATCCTGTTGACATTGCTTGATAATTATCACTATTATCACGCACACACTCCTCTTCCTTGAAGAAAACAACTGAGATGTTGCAGGCAGCCGCTGATAAGAAGCGACATGGCTCCTCTTTCCTGTTATAGTGTTGGCTCTGCATCCTCTCTTTGCAGTTGACCTGAATACATCTGTTTGGTTCACCTCAATTTAGTCCTGCCGTAGTGTTTTGCCTGTTCTGTGGCTGAGTTACTGTTTTTATAAAAGGTTGAGAGAAGAATGGGGCAAAAGAACGCAGTGAACGCGCTTGACGTCTCATTTATATTTCATCAAGACGATGTTGCTACAAGTGGCTGGTGCATGCAATACATAAATAAACTATAGCTGGAGATTCTTTGTTGAGGTTCAATTGCAAACAGCCATGAATATTTTATGAATCAAACTTAAACTGCAATAAATGAAAGTTTTTTGTTTTTTTATCGGATCATTGTTTAGAAAGTCAATCCATCACAATGAACTGTAAACTTGGAGACAGCTGTGCGCTTATGTTGGTAATGGAAAAAAAATGCAAAAACGTGCAAATGAAAAAATGAGAGTAAAGATGCAGAATCAGTGGCCCTAAATTAAATGATGTTTTGAATAATATAGCACCAGATATGGCACTGTTATTTTTCACAATGATATATCATTGCTTTTGTACAACACAAGTCATGCGAGCACTCTTAAGGAATATGTAATCATTTTTCATTCTTACTGTTAAAAAGTAAAGGTTCCTTATTGTCAAAATAGTTCTGTGAAAACCCTTTAACATCCATAGGGTCGTTTTAATCCACAGAAGTTTCAAAAAGTTAGGAGATAAGTAAAAGATAATGGTTGTAGATTTTTTTTTTGTGAACCTCTGAATGGTTTTACTATGGTATTACTTAAAGGTAAAAACCTTGTTGGAAACTTGAAGAAATTTACAAATAACCCTTTCATGCACAGTGCCCAAATTTATGAACACTTCATTCATTCATTTTAGTCCCTTTATTAATCAGGGGTTGCCACAGCGAAATGAACCAGCAACTTAACCAGCATATGTTTTCCACAGCGCATGCCCTTCCAGATGCAACCCATCACTGGGAAACACCCCTACACTCTAGCATTCACACCCACATGTATTTACACCAATTTAGCTTACCCAATGCACATACAGCGCATGCCTTTAGACTATGGGGAAAACTAGAGCACGCAGAGAAAACCCAAGCAAACACGGGGAGAACATGCAAACTCCAGACAGAAATGCCAACTGAGGGTTGCTTAAACCAGCGACAGTGTTTGTGTACACTTAATTAACATCAATTTAAAGTTCATTCTCTTAGTATTTTTCTTCAAATGACTTGATGGCAGTTTCAGTAGACTGATGCTTGATGACATCATTAATACAAGATGGCTGACAGCTTTCACACACCAAAAGATCATTGTTTTTTGCATGCTGTAAAAAAATTAAAGAAAGAAGTTTTATGTTGTGTTTCAGATGTTGATTTACTATAACTGATGATTCAACATGAAGTAAGATAAGGATGAAATCATAATAAGTTGTTACAGTTCACAGTTAATGTTTTGCATGATTTTGCTATATTGCTAATAGGTTTATTAATAATAATTGTTATTGTGCTATCAATAAGTTTTATTTTTATTATTATATTGTGATAT